CAGCGGCCATGGCTCACGGGCCCAGCCGCTCTGCGGCATGTGGGATCTTCCCGGACTGGGACACGAACCCATGTCCCCTGCGTTGGCAGGCGGACTCTCAACCGCTGCGCCACCAGGGAAGCCCCCATCAAATACATTTTTGAATTACTTTTTCAGTTCAGCAGAGAATGGTTTGCTGGAGAGTGACTGTGCCACCTTGGCTGGTGTGTGACTGACGTTACTGAGCTCTGTGTTTTGTGCTTGCAGCTGAAGCCTGGGACAGCTCATGCCTCCGAGAAGCTCAAAACAGAACCCTAGAGAGAGAGAGGCAATTGTCCTGTTATGCCATATTTCATAATAAAGGCATCTACACAGTGCTGAGGGTGCAGTGATTCACTCTGCAGATGCCTGAGGGAGTCACTGAGTGCTTGAGCTGATCTTTGAAGGAGGAGTAAGATTTTTAGGAGTGGGTAGGGTAGGATTAAGGGGAAGGAAGGGTATTCTAGGAGGAGGGATTAACATCTGCAAAGGTTCAGGGGTAAGAGAAACTGGGACCATCTCCTGTATGGAGAGAGTCCAGAAAACTCGTTCCCTCTTCATTTATCACACTTACGCGGCGAAGGTTCAGTATACACAGATTGTGTTTTTTCGGGCCTCTAGTAAACCTCAATTGACCTATTTATTGGCCTGTTTTGGTAAATTAAAAGTTTCAACTGCAACAACAGGGACGATTCCAGAATCTAGCCAAGCATCAGACCAGTGGGGGGGAACCATTTAAAAATACAGGTTCCCAGCACATTTGCCCCAGAAATTCTAATTCAGGGGCAAATGTGCTGGAGCAGCCTAGGAGGACCCTAGGAGGGTGACTCTTTACATTTCCCCTGGTGGCTTTATGATTCCTTAGCCACTCATTACATATTAACAGAAATAAAATTTTTATGAAAAGTAGGCCTATTTATCAAAATGAAAACTTAGAAGAATGACATTGTTTTACATTTTCGAAGCTTTCTTTGACGTCTGAGTTAATAGAAGACATTCAGTTTGTTGCGACGTCACACACTGTGTAGCAGCTGGAAAACTGCATTGTATACAACCGAGAGAATGAAAGTGAAAAAAGTAAATACTGCCTTAATATTACTGTGAAAATGGTTTTGACCTTGCAGATACCCCAGTAGACTCTTGGGGTCCCCCAGGCATACTATGTCTTAAGGCCATCCAGCAGACCACCCATCACTCCCCTGGCCACCCCCCATCACACACACACACAAGCTTCCCCGGGCACCTAGTTACCACCTTGACTCCTCAAAATAAGGAATCTGACAAGATCACTACGGTGTTCAGTTCTATAAATTACTCTGTTTGAAGCAGACTTTAAATGAACATAAAGAAGGCAGCTAAGTATCTGTTGAATAAATGAATGTTAAATATTTATGCACTGTGTGCCTTTAATCAGCTGATAAATTAAGATTAGATGCCTTTGCAGCCAACCATTTAGAAAATCTGATTATTTTCAAATAAATTAATATTTGGAAGCTAAAAGTTCTAACTAAGGATAGCACTGGATCATGGTTATTGAGCTCTGAATCCAGAAAGCTGTCTGAATTCCAGCCCCAGTACTTAAAACAGGGATCGCGGGCAAATGACAGAAGCCCTCAGAGCCTCAGTTTCTTCATCTGAAAGTGAGAATAACAGCAGTAAAGGTTCACGATCCCTTATATTTATTTCCGAAATTCAGACACCTCTAAAAATGGAAATTTTCTTTGAAATCTCACTGAACTGGCAAACCTGACCTGAATTCCTTTGGTAGGAAAAACTCACCTGAATGGACTTGAAGCTCTTTTCATTTATTTTACCTGATCGGACTATTTGTGTATTTTCCTGCAGAAATTAGTATGTTTGATTGTGGAGTACTTCGTAGACCTTGATTAGTCTGGGTATTATGAATGTTTCATAGTTAAGTCAGATAGGCATTGAATTCCGAAACACATCTGCCCCAAGGACTTCAGATGAGAGACTTAGGATAGGTCTTACCACGTCAGGGTTAAATGGGCTAATGTATACCTATAATGTCTAGAACATTGCCTAGTACCTAGCACCATATTAGGTTTCGTTAAATAAGTAGGGTGATGTTTCCATACAGATTGCCAACAAACCCATGAAAGAATGATCGACATCACTAATCATTAGAGAAATGCAGATCAAAACTATAATGAGCTATCACCTCACACCAGTCAGAATGGCCATCATCAAAAAATCTAGAAACAATAAATGCTGGAGAGGGTGTGGAGAAAAGGGAACCCTCTTGCACTGCTGGTGGGAATGTGAATTGGTTCAGCCACTATGGAGAACAGTATGGAGGTTCCTTAAAAAACTAAAAATAGAACTACCATACACCCAGCAATCCCACTACTGGGCATATACCCTGAGAAAACCATAATTCAAAAAGAGTCATGTACCACGATGTTCATTGCAGCTCTATTTACAATAGCCAGGACATGGAAGCAACCTAAGTGTCCATCGACAGATGAATGGATAAAGAAGATGTGGCACATATATACAATGGAATATTACTCATCCATGAAAAGAAACGAAATTGAGGTATTTGTAGTGAGGTGGATGGACCCAGAGTCTGTCGTCATACAGAGTGAAGTAAGTCAGAAAGAGAAAAACAAATACTGTATGCTAACACATATATATGGAATCTAAAAAAAAGATAAAAAGAAAAAAATGGGTATGAAGAATCTAGGGGCAGGACAGGAATAAAGAGACAGACGTAGAGAATGGACTTGAGGACGTGGGGAGGGGGAAGGGTAAGCTCAGACAAAGTCAGAGAGTGGCATGGACTTATATATTCACTACCAAATGTAAAATAGATATAGCTAGTGGGAAGCAGCCGCATAGCACAGGGAGATCAGCTCCGTGCTTTGTGACCGCCTAGAGGGGTGGGAGGGAGACGCAAGAGGGAGGAGATATGGGGATATATGTGTACATATAGCTGATTCACTTTTTTATAAAGCAGAGACTAACACACCATTGTAAAGCAATTATACTGCAATAAAGATGTTAAAAATAAAAAATAGGGTGATATTTCCAAATAAGTGTGGAAACCCCTGAATAGGAAAGAAAGCTCTTCTTATTTTACTAACATTTCCACATCAATGAAAGATGAGTTTTTGTTTTCTTTTTTCCTCTTGAGTTGGGCAATAGGAAAAAAAAAAAAAAAAGGAGAAGTGCTATTTTCCTGCTTTGTATCAGGGAAAATAGTAACTTTGGTGGAAGTGTACCTTCCTTGTTATCTGGAAATTGAAGGCACTTTAGAATTTGTGATTCTGTTCGTTTTTATTGAGCACCTACTATGTGCCTGGCAAGCTGGATACTAGGGCTACATAAGGGAATAAGCCCAAGTCTGTCCGCAGTCACCCATAGTCTAATGGGAGAGAAATGGTTGAGAGCCAGTGGTCATGCCAAATACTCGGTTTTAAAAGAATTAACCCGGCAATGCCTTCTAATTTAGGATTGCCAAATAAAATACAGGACTCACAATTAGTTTGAGGTGCAGGTGAACAATGATTAACTCTTTAGTAGAATTATGTACCAAATATTGCATGGGACATACTTATACTAAATGCAGTATTTGTCCTACGCAATATTTGGGACATACTTAGAACCAAAAAATTATTTATCGTTTATCTGAAATTCACATTTAAGGACACTCTGTATTTTCATTTGCTAAATCTGGCAACCCTAACTACGGTCCTGGGCTGTTTTCAACCATATTGGCAAGCTCTGAGTAGGAAATAGATATTGCACTCATATTGGGTAATTGAGTTTTTAAAAGAAGACTATTTATAGAGGTAAAGGACACTAAGGAGGACGAAACAGCCGGGGCTGGAAGCAGTTACTACCCCCAGGTCCCAGAGGGGCAAGAAGGAAAGAAACAGAGAGGGCCGCTGACAGGCGCCATGGCCATCCCAGGGTGAGATGCGTTCCACCAGCACAGACCCAGTAGGAAGGAAATTGGCAAAAAAAAAACAAACCCAAAACTTTATTCTGCTCCCTCCCGACTTCACTCTGCTCCTGCCCTGCAATCGTGGGAGTGCCCCTGCCCTCACTAGAGGCCGGGAGGCCAGGGGGCCGGCACTCCATAGCCAGGTGGGTAGGGGATGGGCCTATGGAGGTAAGTTAATTCATTCCGATGTGTATCTGATTAAGATATCCTTGCATCAGAACACATCCTTTGCTACAACAGTGATAAGCCAGGGGGAAAGAAGGTGGGGAGGGACAGAAAGGAAAAACGAAAAGGAAGAACAGAGCGACAGTCTGCAATTTGAAGGTCAAGGAAAAGGTGAATCAGCACCATGAATGATTTTAATCGAAGGTAATTTTGTTTCCGCCAAATAGGTTCTTTTTCCCCCTCTTTGGAGTAACCACCTCGATTTCCTATATCAACTTAATGGCTAGAACCAGGGCACTTGGGCCCTCATATTATGCCGGCACGTGTACGACCCTGGAAGGCAGCACCGCCTTAACGTGTGGTCCTTGGTGCCTCCCTGGGCTCGCCCCCTCCCGACCTTCATCCTCCATCAGGCAGCAGTCCCAGATGAGTCCAGGCCCCTGCGCTGCTCACCACGCTCTTGTCTGCATTCGCCCAGGGCCAGGCCTGTGGTGCTTGACCCACTCCTCCCACCAGACAGCTTTCAGTTTGCTGATGCAAATGGTTTGTAACATGGTGATACTAACTAGCCAACTGGTGAAGGCTGAGGTAACAAGAATGTGTGAACCACTGGGCACGGCTGGGCTCCTTCCTCAGGGCTCTCCCAGCAAAGGCTAGGTCACCCCCCGGAGACGGGTTTTGGAATGGATGGGGCACTTTCAGGTTACGCCCAGGTGTCGACCAGGGTTGGCTGAAGATCAGTGTCGGCGCACTGGGCGTGGTCCTGCGCAGGGCTTCAAAGCACGCTGCAGACCTTCTGCTCTCGTCTGTGCTGAGCGCTGAGTTCCCTCCTTTCTCTGGATTACAGTTTCCCAGGCAAGGCTTGCAGCAGACCCAGCAACAGCAGCAGACAGCCGCTCTGGTGCGGCAGCTCCAGAAGCAGCTTTCCAGTAAGTACCCTCCGTCAGGAACAGATGGCTCCCAGGACGTGAAAAACAAGCCAGTGAGCAAAACACAGGTGGCAGCTCCTCAAAAACTGTCTTCCTTGGTGCCGTTTTCATGTTCGTTTTAAGTCCAGGCCGTTCTCATTTTGTTGGTGTTGGTTTGAATGCTTCTTTTCCGGGAAAGCCCCAGTCTTTTCCTTGAGTTCAGCGAGGATGTTTTCCTGTTGCTTCTCTTTGAATCTGGGAATGTTTCTTTCCAGCTGGGGACCCTGTGGAACGGCAGGTGCTTTTCTGATAAAGCTAGATGTCCCAGAGAGCAACTCGGCTGATACCCTCCAGTGTACGATGGAACAGGATAGGTGCCCCCCCTGCCCCCAAGACTCGGATATGGAGAGGCCAGCACCAGACCTATCCCCTGGTCACTAGGGCCATGGCTGCTCTCACCACGGCACCACCCTGCCCTTCCTGATAGCGACTAAGAGAAATCCAGACCTGTAACGTGGCAGGCGGCATCGCAGGACAGTGTTTCTCCCCAGTTAATCTTGCTGCCGTGCTGGCGTGCTACCTTTCTAGGGCGCATGCCGACAACCCATTTCATCGGACCTCATCCCAGTGCCAGCAGCCTGCTCCCATGAATCCAGTCGCCCTGTGCTGGAGTCACGGGATGGGGCAAACTTTTAGAAATGGGAGCGAGGCCCCTGTGATGCAAAGAATATTGGCCTGGAAGTCAGGAGACCTAAATTCTGCTGCCAACTCTGTCACCATTATCTGGGTCATGCAGTTTTTCATCCATACAGCAAGCAGGGAGACTAGTAATTTCTCGATTCTGTGCTTCTGAGGTACAGAGCGATGAGCAGCGAGTTCTGAAGGCAGTGGTGTGGCTCTGGTGGAAGATTGTAGGGAAAAGGGTCAGTTTATGACTGAGAGAGAGGGGCAGCTTGGCTCTAGTCTTAATTTCCTGCCTGCTGCTGTCCGTGTGTTTTCCTGGGCAGAGGGAACACCTCTCTTATGCCCTGTGTCTCTCCGAGGGCATAACCAAGGTCTGTTGTTGTTGTTCTTGTTGTTGTTTTCCTTTAAAAATATTTCCCTCAGTTAAGTCATGTCAGTCTTTTCCAAGAACTGTTCAATCAGTGTGGTCTATTAAACACACGTGTGGTTAAAATTTCACTGTGTTTCATCAGCTCCAGAGTTCACATTTTTAATTTTTTTATATTTGGCTGCACTGGGTCTTCACTGCTGCACGCGAGGTTTCTCTAGCTGCGGCGAGCGGGGGCTAGTCTTCGTTGTGGTGCACGGGCTCTAGGCGCGCAGGCTTCAGTAGTTGTGGCGCACAGGCTTCAGTAGTTGTGGCGCACGGGCTTAGTTGCTCCGCGGCATGTGGGATCTTCCCGGACCGGGGCTCAAACCCGTGTTCCCTGCACTGGCAGGCGGATTCTTAACCACTGTGCCACCAGGGAAGTCCCCAGACTTCATATTTTTGCATGGCTAAAGAGAATATAATTTTAAGGTAGAGACAACATGTTATATTTTAATTTTTTTTTCTAGTGATTGGAGGTATGTACCTACGATTTTTTATGGAGTAGCACCTATCTGGGGAGCATACTCTTGGTTCCTATTTCCAAGGGCTCACAGAATGCAGGTTTTTTTGTTGTTGTTTTTTTGCAGGGGGGGCGGGGATTGCCATCATTTCTGGAGCACTTTCTTGGACCAGTGAATTTTTTGCCATCATTTCTGGAGCACTTTCTTGGACCATGGGTCCAGTCATGGACCCATGACTTTACATTTATTAATTCACTTGATTTCCTAAACCACCTCATGCGCCGAGGTATTATTGCTATTCCCGTATTACAGATGAGGAAACAACTAAAGAACAGGGACATTTTCCCGTTTGCCCAAGGTTACTCGGCTAGCAGCTGGGACTAAAACTCAGACTGTCTCCTTCCAGAGCCCACCTCTTAACCACAACATATAGTCTGATGCCTGACATGAGCAGTGATGCCGGCCTCCTTTGTTGAATAAGGGCAACTAAGCTGAGCTGCCCATTGCACAGCTCCAGCCGGCTGCATTTCTGCCATAATCCGTGTGAATGGGGCCTTTGGATTTGAATAGTCCCACCAGAGTTGTGCAAGCAGTAGCTATTTCTAAGCCTGTGTCATTGTTTTGAACCTACTCACTGTTCTTTATTTGTCCAGGTGTGCACATAGACACATGTGCACAGGCACACACTCGCATCACACACACAGCCTCTCTCTCCCATGCATACACTCTTGCACGGTTCTCTCTGATGTATCTATCCATGGCCATTTGCAGAAAATTGCCCCTTTCAAGCTACTTCTCTCACCTATTATAACGTCAGTGTTAAAGTAGAACCTCTGATGTGCTTTTATGAAGTTTCCAGAACTTTTCATGTTTTATGATACTTACAGTCCTTTTTTATGTTAGTATTGAGATGTTTGTTAGCTCAGGGATACAGACTTTTGACGGGCCAATGACCTTCATCCCAAGGCCTCTTGCTGTCCGTTGTGGGACTCTGATGTAGAGGTGGCCCCTCTGCAGAATGAATCGAGCAGTGGTATTAAGACCTTGGCCGCACAGGTGTCTGGGCTAGTGTTATACTTCCTGACCAGTCAGTCTGCTTTCAGTACCAGCCTCAGGAATAGAGGAACAGTGACAAGAGCGTGCCACCGATCTGTGGCATAATTTTGCGTCTGCCATTTTATTGGATTTTCTTTTTCTCATTAGGTAACCAGCCACAGCAAGGAGTGACGCCCTACGGGCATCCTTCACACTTCTGAGTCTGGAAGAGGACAAAGACGTGAAGTTTTTTGTTTGCACTGAAAAATAGAAAATCACATTTAATGCATTAGTCACCTTTAGAAATGTCCCTTTGTTCTTTCATTTCTTTGGCGTTTTCCTATATTTGACGCTACATTTCATACAAAGGCGTTTAAACAAAATGTAAAGGAAAAGGTGTGGTTTGGTTTTGTTTCATTCAATTTGAAAGTAGGTTTAAAAATGTGGATCATGTGGGCCTGCGCCAGGAAGAGTTTGATAGCAGACCTTTTGAAATTGGTGCTTTTATTGAATCTCGTAGTTATAGAAAGAATGGATTGTGGTGGATTTAAAATATTTATGGATTCATTAATGATGAAGTTTGGTTTTTTGGGGTTTTTTTGTTTTGTTTTGGGTTTTTCTTTTGCACACTGTGCCGGACCAAACTACTGATTTGAAAGGCATGTCAGATCTTGACAGGAAAGCGACCCATTTATTCTGCGTTCACCTTTGGTGGCAAAATGGACATTTATTTGCATCGCTCTAATTTGAAATGTTTGTAATTTCTTAAGCACTTTATGAACTTTGTTCTTATTTATGTAGGATTTTTCTTTGCTTTTATTGTGGTCAAAAGGTGCTGAAACAGATTGTTGCTTAGTACTTAAACTTCTTAGACCAAGAACTTAAACCAAGGCTTCTGTGAGAGCCACCCTAAGGTACGTGGAAGCCTGTTAGAAGTAGCTGTACTACTAAATTTGTTTTCAGTGGCGAGATCATTGACCAGAGTCTTTGTGAAGGTACAACATGTAAATTCTAAAGGCCGGAACGAACCACAGTGGAATTGTTGCAATTATTTGCCAGATTTGGCAAAAATGACTCTGTCCAGTTTTGGTTCTCCTGAACCTTATGCCAACTTGAGAAAAAAATCTCGCAGCTGGCCTGAGATTCCACAGTGCTCAAACTTGACATGGTTTCCAGAGAATCTGGCCCCCAAGTCCAGGGGGGCTCTGGTTTTCATAAGAGATGTATTTGCTGTTTATTTTGTATGGTAAGTATTTGCTATTTTGAATTTAACTATTAATGTTGGTGTCTGTCTTGGTTGTGTATTGCATATACTGTATTTATAAATTGGTGCAAAAAGCACAAGTAAAGTAAATTATACATCAAATTTATTATAAAGAAATAGTAACTATTTTAACTTTGTTCAAGTATGTGGTAATTTGCTCCTATTAGAGTGAAAAATACAGTAAATTATTATCAGTTTGTGTAACTTAAGAGTATTCCATATAATATTTTTTTAGATTTAGATGCATAAAATTTTGAATGTGAAAATTGCAGGGCATTTTAAAACACGTGGGGGATATTTTCCCATGTTCTGTGTTAATTCATTTTCTTTTGCCATATGAATTTACCTGTAACGTAGTCGAGCATACTGTGAATAGATTTGTCTATAATGAGCAAACCATGTAGAACTACTTTTTTTAAATGTAGCTGGTACAACTTTAGCAGATCATTTCCTTTGCAAATCATTATATAAATAATTTATATCTTCCCAGGTGAGTTACTCATTGCAAAATTTGACTCATGCAAATGACCTCAAATACATGTCCGCTTACTTTGCTGTGGCAGCATCCATGTGAACTGCTTTGTACACTGTGAAACGATTTCGCTCCAGCCCGCTCATTTCATGTTTACTCTGGGTTGGAAAAGACTTTGCCAAAACATTAAAGACCATTCTTTTCACTAAATTAACATGTTCTATCTGCTTTCAGAAGATGAATCTTGACATTTCAGCTGGTTTTGTATATCAGGGTTTTTTTTTTTTGGTTTTTGGTTTTTTCCCTCTTGAGAGTCATACTTAGAGTTCATGAAGTTATTTTTTCTTCAAAGTAGTCTGTCATATAATGACTGCCTTGGCAAAACAACTGAAATGTGAATGTCGTGCCTAGTGAGTACCAGTCATGTTCTGTCCTGATTGTTGTTTTACTTCTTCTCAAGAATTACTGGTGTTTAAAATGCCACCTTTCAGTTTGAACCATATATATTTGTAGCTCAGTATTGCAAACAGAAGTAAGACTGTTTCAAGAATGAGTGTTATAATTGCATAGCATTTGTATGCACTTTACACATTTTGCAGAAGTTAGTGAAATTAATTTATTAATCATTTTGCACTGGAAAGCTGTGGGACATAGCTTTTTGTTGCTGTCGTCTCTTTTTTTTCAGGTGGGAAAGCTAAGATATGGTAAGGCCCTATAATTCGACGATTCTACAGAGAGTTGAGGAAAAACCTAGAACTGGTTTTCCCCTGTGTCCTATACAGAGAGAAACTGGAATTTTCAATCTATTCTTATCATATTTCCTCCCATTTAATCCTCTCTCCTGAGAGTTTTCTTTTTCTTTTTTAGAATATGCATTGATTTGTCTTGAAATGATCACAAAGGAAAGCCCTGTCCTTCGGCAGAACCTGGTAATTTGCTTGGTGAGACAAAGAGGAAATTATCTTAGGATAAGATGGAGACCCCCAGTTCCCCTTAAAGACTTTGAAATAGAATGGAGTTGGACATAAGAAGCCCTTAGATATACCTGTTTACATAGTAGGCTTCTTCCTAATAGGGTTACATTTGTCCTCTTTTTTTTATTCCTCTTGGTCCGGAAGTAGAATGAGATCACTGTTAGAACGAGTAGCCCTTGACCGCTTATGGCCACAGGATACCAACATCAAAGAACGTAGGAATCGGGTCACCTCTTTAGGTGGGGCAAGCTGAAAGTTGGTGTGATGAAAACAAAATGAAGTGAGTCCCCCCCTCCCCCCCCCCCGGCTCTGTCTCAACTGATTGACAGGGAAAAATGTAGTTCTCGGTTTTGTGTGCTGAGCTATCTGAGCAAGACCTATGGCATTTTCTTCTTTTTCATTTATTAAGTCTCCTATAAGTCTTCTTAAATAATAGGCAAATATTTGCATAGATGCTGGAGAAATTACACTGGAAAATCCTAGCCTCTAGAGTTAGAAAAGCTGAATCATATTGTCCCTTAAATTAATTCAGGTTGAATTAAGCATGTAATATAAATAAATTCAGTGAATTACAAAAAGCAACATTTTGTATAGGGTTGATCAAATTTTAACTACAGTGAAACTCCATTATATGTATTCGGTCTAGATTTTCCCAAACATTTCCCTGTCACACAGGATTATCACCTTATAGAATGGACGCTCATAGAGCAATGATTCCTCCTAAAAGAAAATTTTTCCTTATGAACAAACAGTTCCAAACCAGGGGTGCTGAGCTAGATTTTGAAGTTATAAAGAAGTTTGTGTATTTTAAAAGCTTTTTAATGGCTTTATTTGGGATAGATGTAATCAACCCCCTTTTCACATTTTATGATGTGCAGGTGTTGTTGCTTTCTTACAAGTGGAAAGTCAGCCTGCATTTATTTTTAAATGCAGTTATTAAAACTTTTTTTTCTATTCCCCATCAATGAAAATTTTCAGTGTGCACAAAATGGTGAATCATAAAACAGTTCAGCGCTTATTTTCTGTGGGTTTTAGTGAAATATTTATAAACTGACCACAGTATTTATACATCAGGATGACAAATTTACATCGACCGCAAATTTAATCATCTTTTCCATTGTGTCTGTCCTCAGCGCCATGCTTGTAACATTGATTAATAGAAGGTGGACACTAGGCAAATGGTAATGAAAGAAAAAAAGTCCATTCTTTAATGAAGAATTCAGGTACATTATCCACTTGTTATTTTATGGTCGATCGTTTTCTCTTAATGTTCATTGTTATTTGTTGGCAAAATAAAAGTGCCTTAAGTTAAAAGTTTGTTTTGAGATCCATTATAAAAAAAATCAGTATCATTTATTTACAAGTCCTTTTTTTTGCATGTCTATTATAATATTGTAAGTGTATTCAAATTCATTTACATGCCTATGGCTGCCTTTGATTAAACTTCTTCCAAAAAGTAAATTCTGTCCAGATGTTGTTGACTTTGTTCAGGTAGTTTTATTTTCTGTCAGATTACTTGGATGTAAGTTGTTGCGTAATCACTTCCAAGTGGATTCTTTGCTGTGCATCTGTATATCCCAGAATCTGAGGTTTGAGGATTCTGAATGACTAGGGTACCTTGTGGGTGAAAACGTTGAATTCCATGTGTCCTCCCTTCGTGTGCCCCTGAGAACAGGGAGTGGCCAGGCATCTCCCATGTGATTTCTGGCTTGGGGACTCCCAGGGCCACACAGCGGAGCTGAACGGCCACGCCTGTCCTTGTGAGGACGTTCCTGGGTAGGCGATTTGTAATTCGGGGAGGGTAGGCCACAACCATCACTGGAAGAGTAATCAGTGCATGGCCAATACTGTTTTGAGCCTTACAAACGTAGCTTCCTCTGTCATAAGCTGTTGCCTCTTTGATGACCAAGGTGCCATTTTCATGCAGTATGTATTTTCCACTGATCTGAGGCCCGTCTATTACGTAACCACTTGGCACAGTCCATTTGATACGTGGCTTAGGGCTTCCATCAGAGACACAGTGCAACGATAGAGTGTCTCCACTGATACTGTAAACTGTTCCTCGTGCATAAGTGACAATCACTGGCTTTTGGCCAATTTGTAATACAATTAATTTCTCAATATAGCCAACTTTATTTCTTGCTGCACACCGATATTTTCCTGTATCGTCCCGAGTCATTTTAGAAATGATAAAAGAGCCGTTACTTGCTATTAGATACTGAGAATTGTTTTGTCCATTGGGAAATTGTGTGCCATTTGGTAAAATCCAGATTATTTCAGGTGGTGGGTTTCCATCAACAGAGCAATTCAATGCTGTGGACTTTCCAAGCTGGGCAACGATTTTTTCATTATGTGGATTTCTGAATGTCGGTCTTCTCAGCATTTCCAGTACTTCTAACTGTACCACCAGCACACTCTCTCCTCCTTCATTCCGAGCCACACAGGTAAAATTGGCTGCATCTGAAAGCCTCACATTCCTAATTTCCAGCGTTCCATTTTTATGGACTGTGATTCTGCTTCCATAGTACGGAACTGTGAGGAAAATATTGTCTGGCATGATCCACATGATTTGAGGAGATGGTGTCCCTTCGGCTCTGCAGTCAAAGTGTTTTTTGGAATGCCTCACCGCCATGGCTTTAATGGTGGTTTTATCTGTATACAGACCATTGATTAATGGAGGTTTGGAGACAACGTCCAGTTTGTACATTTTGGTGTCATCCCCACTGGGATTTCGTGCCACACATACGTACTCTCCAGAATCGAGCAGTTTCACTCTGTTGATAGACAAAGACCCATTGGCATGAAATGTGTACCTGTCCTTAGAGAATGAAATCATGTCATTGGAAGGCAGCAACCAAAATACTTTTGGCTTGGGCTCCCCAGTGACCTCACAGTCAAGGACGGCTGTGTCTCCAGCCTTGACTCTCGTGTTGGTCTTGTAACCCTGCCGGATCCGTGGGGCAGCTGTTATGACTGTTAGGTGGACTTTCATTTCATCCTTCCCTAGAGTGTTCTGGGCATGGCAAGTGTAATCTCCTTCCTCTGCCATCCCAACTCTGTTGAAGTATAAGGTTCCATTGTCGAAGAGGGTGAACCTCCTGGTGCTGTGGCCACTGTCATCGGCCTGCATGGCGTTATTTATCATCGTCCCATCAGGCAGACTCCAGGATATCTCGGGCACTGGTGAGCCGGAAGCCATGCAATCGACTTGGAAGTCTTTCCCGTGAAAAACTTGCTTTTTAAAATGTTGCTTGTGGTCAATTTTGGCAGGTTTCCGTCTTAGGCTGACGTGCATCAGGGTCAGATCGTCCCCCATCTTGTTTCTCGCCACACACAAGTAGTCTCCACCGTCTTTTTCTGTTACTGATCCGATAAACAGGGATCCATTTGGGTAGACTTGGATGCGGCTGCCCATTCTGAGGAAAGAAGAGACGGATTGAGTATGCAGGTATTAACAAGGGGTGGGAGACTTATTTACACGGGATTAGCTTTATGGACATTTTCTTAAACTGTTGCAATGGAATTAAAATCACTGTCTTTTAAGCTGTTCTGAAAGATGAAATTAGCTGAACAGATATGATTTAGTGCAGACAAGCACTATGTCTTAGATGGACTTCAAATGAATCTCCTCTGCATTTCAATTGAAAAGAATTTTCATGGTGACGAGAATATTAGAAATACCAGTTTCCTAGACCCATGACCGTCTTGACCACTTTACACATCAAATGATCATTTTGTGATATACGTCAGTAAAGAACAACTTTCATACAAATTTACTTGCTCAGAAAAGATACCAGGTTTTCCTTTTTAAAGAGATATTAGTAATCAGTTATTTGGTTAGAAAATGAGTTTTACTTTTTTTTATAAAGAGAGGAAATGCCAAGGTAAGACCCATTAGAAGCTTACTAAAGCATCTGTCTCTGCAGGCAGCTGTACCGTGACTCTGGTCTCTGCATTATATTGAACTCCATGAAGACCATTTTTCTCTCTGAAGCCACTACACAGCCTGCTATTACCACATTGAACCATCAGGTGGCAGATCTTTCCTGGTAAAACCAAACCTAGTTTTTCAAAAAGACCAGTGGAAACTGAGTAACTGCTAAAAACGCATTCAAAAACACCCATAGGTGGAAATCTCCGTACGTTTTTCTTCCTAGTTCTTTGGCAACATGAGCTAAGCAGGTGGGTGAAATGAGAGAGAAAAGTGTGGATGACCTTTTATAGCATAAGTGCTAAGCAAGTCAAACAGCCTCAAGTCATTTTTTACCTTCAAGAAAACATACCATAAGTAGGAAGAGTATTTGTTGTAGGACAACTTAGAAGTGCTGATATTCTTTTTTTTTTTTTTTTTTTTTCCCCTCAAGCCTGGAAAGAACTTGTCTTGCATATAAACCAAAGGAAGGTCATCATAATGGATGCACTTAAAAAAAGGAATGGAAACTACAAGGGTCTTTGCATTCATTTTTTAATCTTTAGGTAGTTCCCCACTATACAGCCAAAAAAAAAAAAAAAAAAGATACTTAGACAGACATAGTAACTTGCCCTTTTCACCATGCTACACTGCCACCTGCTATCATTCTTTCCTAATGCTTTCTAAGAGCTCTGTTTCTCAAACTCGGGTGCACATTAAAATCATTTGTATAAAATAGTGCTGTTGCCTGGGTCCCACCTCCAGAATTTCTGACTTAATTGGTGTGGAATGTGACCTTGGCCTCAGGACTCAGTTTTCCAAATGACTCTCATGGGCAGCAAAGTCTCAGAACCACTGCTCTAAATCTTGGTATTTAATGCAGTTCCCTCATTACCTGCATCAGAATTACATGGGGTCTAATTTAAGATGCATATTTCCTGGTTTCACTGTTCAGAGATTCTGATCCAATAGATCTAGCCAGGGATCCGGGAACCCACTGTTTGACAAACTTCCCGGGTGACTTTATGAACATTGAAGTTTGCGAAACAGTCTCAAATTTGAGTGTGTGCCGTAATCATCTGGACAGCTTTTAAGAACACAGATTGCGTGTCAAAACACAGAATCGGAATCAGGTTCTCAGGCGATGCTAATGCTCTTGGTAGGAGGACAACCCTTTGAAAACCAATGACTCAAAATGACCTTTCCTCACCCCCAAATCTGATGCATCTGGAAGTTGTAATATATAAAAAGAGAACTGTAACTGTTTCCTTTTACAAACTGATATTTTTAAGGGAAAATTTACTTTTGAAAGTGGAAGTTTTCCCTGAGTAAAAGAAAGGGAATTCTTTAGGAAAATTAATGCACAGGCAAGCATCTGCAGTCTTTTAGAGCAGTGTTTCTTGGACCTTATTGCGCATGTGATTCACCTGGGGATCTTTTTAAAATGCAGATTCTGATTCT